GTTAGGAATTGGCTAAAACGTTGTAGAGCCAAGTGAATTCATAAGATAAGGGAACTCACCGAGATTATTATCTCACCTCATTATTATTGTTTTTATTCCAGGTATTGTTTCCAGGTTTGGTTTACCATTGGAGTTATGCATGGATGTTTCAAGGGAAGCTTAGATTGTGATTTCTTCCGTTGTGTATCTTGTACAATGATGGAAATTGTACTTAGATCCTAGATTTTAATTGTTTGGTACTTCCCATATCTTATACCATTGTTGTTCTTTTATGTTTAGTAGAATGGTCAAGTATGTAAACTCTACCAATAAGAACTTATGATGGTGTCAGTACCAGATAATAACACTTGTATGATATTATTCGAGATATATATTATACAGGGCGTTACACTTTGGTTTTGTGTGATTCAAATATATAGAGTTAGAGAGTCTGAGAAACACTTTAGTAAAAAAAATAGAGCTTGTTCTAAATAATTAAGTGACTATTCTCTTGTAACTCATCAATAATCTTTTATAACAATTTTTGGAACTACAGTGAATTGAAGAGCTATTCTCTCTCTCCAAAGTAGATTGTTTAATAGAATTGGTTAAACAAACCATTGTGTTTACTATTTTTACTTTATATTCTTATGCAAAGTTAAATTAATATTTTATTACACAAATAATTATTTTTGGTGAAGACCATTTATTTTACTTGTCAATATTCTTTGTCATTATACATCAAAAATTTTGGTGTACTTGAACTTTAAATAATTTTTCAAAAGTTCTTTTAATTATTCTATCGATTTCACATCACTAGAAGGCACTAAACATGGTCAAAGGGTGTCTTGAAAGATCTCAAAAACAACATAAAAAATTAGACAGGAATCAAACACATAAAACAATGACCATATCAGTGTTCTTGACCTTCAGATGGTTAACTTAGCCCTCTTGGATAAGTTAGGGTGGTGCCTGCTTTCGGGGGTTTCAGGTATTTGGTGTAACATCCTTGTGGCCAGGTATGACGTAGCCCTATACGACTTCTATTCTGGGTGGGAGAGTCGGTCGTCTTATATCGTCCTCGTCTTGGTGGAGAGGGGTTTCCCGTATGGGATTTGGATTTATTGATTCTACGGTCTAGTTCTGGGATGGTCTCTCATCAAAAGTTGGTTTTTGTCTCCTTACTTTCTTTTGAGAGGATATCTTAGTTAGGGATTCCACCCTTTTTGTCATAGATTCCCTCGCCTTTTTCTGATTTCGGGCCAAATCTCTAAATTTGTTGGGGAGGTTGGTAGATAGGAGAGGGATAGTTGGGTATGAGATCTCAGATGGAGGAGGTCTTTTCTTTTTTACTATGAGTTGACTATTTTTAGATATATCCAGACTTTGATTAGATGTTTCACCCCTTCTGTTGTGAGTGATGAGTGGAGGTGGCATGACTCTAGCGATGCCTTTTATTCTATAGCTTCCGCCTACTCTTGTCTTTTGGCCTATATTTTCCCACAAGGGTGTCAGGCCACTCCAGCTGAGTTAGTTCTTCCATACATTTAATGTAGTTGGTCCCCTTCTAAATTTATTGTTTTCTCTTGGAAACTTCTTTAGGATCATATCCCTGCTAGAGAAAACATACTTAAAAGTAGAGTCCCTTTAACCTTTGTGACCTTTTCCTTCCCCTTTTGCTCTCTTCTCATTGAGTCTTCGTCTCATCTCTTTATGACCTGCGATGTTAGTTCCTCAATTTGGTATAGGATTTTCAGGTGGGTAGGGTGATGTGTTGTTTTTCCTAGTGATACTTTGACCCATTTTCAGATGTTTATCCCTTCGCCCATGGGTGCAAGGACTAGGAGAGGGTTGTAGATGATTTGACATGTCATTGTTTAGTCAATTTGAAACTCAGAATGATATAGTTTTTTACGCGTCTTTGATGAGACCAAATGACGTGGAAGATACAAGCATCTTCTTGGCTTGGAAATAATATATTGGTAGGTCCGCAGATAACTCCCATAGTTTCTCGGCCTGACGTGTGAACCTTATCCTGTTTCTTAGCCAATCGAAGGGTGAACGTCTTCGAGCTCTATTGGATATGTTCTTGTTTCATTTTTCGTGGTTGTGGCTCTTTTTTAGGTGTTCTTAAATTGGAGAGATCTAGCTTTGTCTGATGATGTTTTGCTGCGTATTTATATGACTATGCTCTGTTTATTTTTGTTTTTTTTATGGTGGTTTGTTTTGTTGTAATTGGTAGCCGTCTTTGCTTTTTTTATTTACTCCTGATCCCGACATTGTTATTTCTTGTGTCATTCCTTAAGATTCTTTGTACAATGATTGTAGAACTTTTCTCTCTCTCTCTCTCTCACTCTCTCTCTCTCTCTCTCTCTCTCTCTCTCTCTCTCTCTCTCTCTCTCTCTCTCTCTCTCTCTCTCTCTCTCTCTCTCTCTCTCTCTCTCTCTCTCTCTCTCTCTCTCTCTCTCTCTCTCTCTCTCTCTCTATATATATATATATATATATATATATATATATATATATATATATATATATATATATATATATATATATATATATATATATATATATATATATATATATATATATATATATATATATATATATATATATATATATATATATATATATATATATATATATATATATATATATATATATATATATATATATATATATATATATATATATATATATATATATATATATATATATATATATATATATATATATATATATCACTAAACTACTAAAAAATAACTACTTAAAATCCAACATCGAGAACCATCTTCAATATAAAGCAAACAACTTTCAACAGAAGGGCATCAAAGCCCAAAATCTCAAGGAACAGTAGGCTACAAACTTTCAAATCACTATTGACTCAAGTAAAATATAGTTTCTCAAGCCAGTTAAAAATGAAAATTTCTTATCCCACCCCCTAGCCTTCTTAGACACCATGTGCTCTGCCTAAAATACCTTCTGATTTCAGAGATGTATATCCAGACGCATCTTTTTTCAGAATTTTTTAATTAATTCCGTTGATGAATCTACAGAATATTTCCGTATGCATATTTACGGAAGAAAACCAGAAAATCAACATTGCAACGATAAAATCAACATTCATAAAATAAAATCAGCGTTACATTGATGATTTCAGCAGAAATTTAAATACTAAATTTCAATAGCCCAGTGGATGCTTGCACATCTCTAAGGTGTCATCGACCGTTCTTCGGACCGTCGCCTCCAACTCGAGCGGAATTTTCTCTTCAAAACTGAAATACGTTCGCCACATCACCATAACATTTTCTTAATTCTTGAGTTCAAACTTGCTGTAAACAATGTTCTCTTCTTTGTCAACTGAAGGTGAACCATACTTAAGCTTCACAACCTTTCGCTTGTAATTGTAAGGTAGGCGATGTTGGATCTCGTCCATGAGCATGAACGTCCTTCCGGGTGTTTTGCCGTTGGAAAAGGAAACACTTGCGACATACCAACATATCTTGATTTCACATAATTGAGAAATTTTTGTATTTGTGTTAAAGATAACAAATGAAACCCCAAATTTATAGAAAACCTAGGTGAATATGGACCAACCATTTTGTGTCATACTTTTTTTCCGGAACTATATCCACGGAACGACCCCATAATTATTGGTTCTGGAGGTGTATCTCCGGAACATTCCTTGTATTCAAAACAAATCAAAACAAGTTTCACCGGCTAAATCTATTGATGGTACCCCTTTGGACTTTTCTACATTCGATATTTTTTCAATGTTGTTCAAATTTTCAAATTCGTGCATCCTTTCAACAAAATAATCCGACCACATCTCAGCATTTGCATTGAATGAGTCGCCCATTTCGGTGATGTAGGTGGTATAAGGCATCCCGGTTTCAAGTAAACTTGTACAAAATGTCTTGATTTTGTAAGCCATCCAATACACATGATGCGATCATTTGGATTTTTAGGTGGTACAGTGCGGAGTGTAAAAAAGGTTTTTGAAAACCCGTATCGTATCAAGTCAATGCACACCCTATCATATGCACATGCAATAAGATGACCCACATCAGGGAAGGTCATCCATTTTGACACCGGTGCCGGACCACTCAAGCAAGGAACAAGAGATTCATAAACCGCATCGAATTTTTCTTTCTTTCCATACAATCGCGTGTACGATTCTTTATGCGTTTTCAAATCTTGGATTAGTTTATGATAGAAAAGCGCATGACTATCCTCTCCTTTACCAAGCAAATCCGAAATGGCTCAGTAACCGCAATTACCATCCCCTTCAATATTGACGATACGGTCAAAGTATTTGTGCATAAAAACTAGCATCTCATTGATGAATGGAATTTTCGATGGAATCATGGTTAGAGGCGGTTTGCTTATGCGGGCTCCTTTCATGACACTTTTTTGAGATTTAGGATTCAGTGAGTCGGAATAAAGTTTACCAACGTGCTCACAATAAGAAGGAGACCATGTAGTCGAGTTACCATTCGGTGTAGGCTTCATTTTCTTTGGAGCACCTTTTGTCTTTACCGGTTGAGAAAGAGGTTTCATGTCGGTTGTTTCGGGATAGCCAATCTTCCTCAATTGTTCTTTAATGTTGAGTTTCATGTTATCATCGACCTTTGATAATCTCTCTTGTATCGCTTCCCATTCGGTCAAAATAGAGATATTTGGTTCACCTCTTTCCATGCAATCATCATCATCAAAACTAAGTCTTTTCAAATGAGGGCAAACTTCGTCCATTCTTATTGGCTCACCTAGTTTCAACTTTTAAGCAATAACACAAGCACACAGAAGACCATAGGTTTTCACAATAGTGCAACCACACTTTGCGCTATCGGAACCTACAGTTTTAGCTCGTTTAGCCACGTAAAAAATATAGTTCAACCCTGGTCGAGACATATTGTCGATCAATTGAGAATAAAGAATGTTGTCTTTAAATTGATGTTCCAATACCGTTATACTCCGACCAAATGTTGTTTGTATATCATTATGTTGGTTTTTAATCATGATATTTATGGAGTCCCAATCTCGACACAAATCCCCCTTGCTACCACATTCATCAACGCGGTATCGCGGTCGGTAACAATCACTTTAGGTATCTCAACTTGGTCCTTCAAAAGTGACCGACACATCTCTAATGCCCATGTAAAATTGTCCTTTTTTTCACACTCCAGAAAAGCAAAACCAATGGCATATGTCTTCTCGGTAGACGTAACACTAACCATCTCAAATAAAGGAAGTCTATAACTGTTGGTCTTGTAGGTAGAATCAAGAATGAGCATTGTTGAGAACGTGTTGAACAGCTTTATCGAATCCGGATGAGTCCAAAAAATATCTCGGACCATAACTCCATCGTCGCAAGTTTTGTACCGGAACACGTAACTGTTATCATCAAACAATTTCAACAGTTGTTGCATCTCACTTCTATCTCCCATAATCACCTTGTTTGTGCGGTACCGAATTTTATCCACTTGCCTTATATTTGATATATTGTCGGGTTCCTTCTGTTTCAATGTGGCAAGTATATTTTTCGGTTGGACAAGATTCAAGGTCATGTCACTAATATATGTCTTCTCTTTCGGCTTGAGCTGACATACACTAGGATGACATTGTAACTTTAAGCACAATTCATGGTTATGCAAACCACAAATAACACTAAATTTTCACTTTTTGGTACTCAACATGTAACCACGAATCTTAAAGAAACACTCACATTTTCTACTACCGATGTCGTCTCTTTTAAACTTCCGTAGAGGAGTCTGATATTTCCCGCTTCTTTCGCACAACAAAGTTACAAAAGCGTTTCTTCTTTTCAAACCATTATTCGATCTTCCTATAATCACACCAAAACCAAGTCTAGTTGCACTCCTACGAATTCATGTGAGCATGCTATCACGATCATCAAACTCTTGCTTGTTATTAAAGTCAACGCCAACATCAACCGACTTTACGACAACTCCTTGAACATTCGGAGAAACATCGTTTGTAGAAACTAATTCTTTTGAGATATTATCGAGGTGTACCATATCTATTCGTAAACAATAAGAAAAATAAACAAAAATTACAAATCAGCTGTAAAAAAACAGGTCACAGACATGTTTCAGAGATGTACGTTCGGAAGTGTTCATCTTCAACATGTTCCAGAGGTACAACTCCGGAAGCAATGTTACTTTTTTTTCTCTCAAAAGTTTGATGATTAATGTGAGCAATGTAATGGATAAAGTGCAATCTTTACCTGAAACTCGATCTTCTCTTACTCCCTTTGATTTGTTGCACGGAAAAGTTGGAGTTTTGGAGTGAAAAATGATATTGAAAATGTAGGGTTTTTTAAGTTGGCGAAGGTGAATGTGGAAGAAAACACAATGGGGGGTGTGATCATGCAGGTTTCAAATATAGAAGAAATTTTCGGAGCTGTATCTACGGAACAATATGACGCTTAGACGTTCTGAAAGTGCATCTATAGAAGTTTCCCTGAACTGAATTATTTTAGAGTTTTTCCCAACATTTATCAGTTTAAAATTATTTCATACATGTAACTCCGAAAAAAAATTAAATTTTAACCAAAAAAAAAAGATTCGAATATGTATCGCCAGAAATAAAAAGTATAAAAAAAATCAGTACGTATCTAAGAGTATAAATAGGTGGATTAAAAAATTTTCTAAAAAAATGCACATGAGTAAGCTGACCACATACTTATATATCATTTCCAGTTAAAAGAAATGCTGATGTCTTTCATATCCTTTTTGTTTGTTGTAAAATATAGTTTTATTTTTGAACTTCCAGATAGACCACGCCACACAGTGTCACTCTGAAAATCTGAAATGTTTTTCTGGCAAACTTATTTTTAATGTTAATAAACTTACTTGTGGTAGCCATTGAAATACACGTGCCAATGCATGGCATACACAAGCCTTTAGCTTCCTGGATCGTGTTTTGCCCGAGTTTATTATTTAATTGTTTCATAAAATTTGTAATAACTAACTTCCAAATATGTACATGATGGTGACATGATGAAGTATAGATTTCAATTTAATTATTTCTACACAGTTGTTAAATAAGAGACAATGACTATAATGTTATATATGTGTGGTTATTATTATTCGCATATTCGATAACTCAGATTCAAAAGTTAGAGATGTATAACTATAGGTAGAGATGCATAACTATAGTTATTTAAAGAATTTTCTTTTTAGACATTTATAGCACTATGTTAGATTTGAGATTTAACGACTTTTTTTTTCTTTTAAGAATAAGTTCTTACAAAATAAGGAAATCAACAAAAATAAAAGCACAGTTAAGTAATATTTTTTGGGTATACTTTAAAAATTTTACAATGCTTTATATATAAAAGGTGGTGTAAATCTATTTAGAAAAATAAAAAACGGTCTAAAAATATTTAAAAAATTAAGCACAAGTTAAAGATACTATAATTAAAAAAATTATGTTAAAAATAAAATATGGTTTTAAATTTTAAAAAATTCAATGAACACATTCTAAATAAATTTTTAGAAATTGTTTACTAATGTGTGCCAGGACATGTTAGCATTATACAACAATATATAAAAAAAAATTACTCATTTCAATTATATTTTTATAAAAAACAAAATTGATTTTCTTTATAATTAAAAAACATATTATAATAGATTCTTTTTATAAATACAGTGTTGATATAAAATAAACAATTACAAATTAAACCACTTAAACAACGCCTTTTTTTTAAAAAAAAACAATTGGTTTTCTAATGGTAACACATTGTATACTTAAGAAGTCACGTGAGCCAAAATAAAGATCATTTTTTATATAAAATATATTGTTGATTTTTTTCATAAAATATTTAACTTTTTAAAAATTCTCATTTCAAAAATGTGAATCTATAAAATATATTGTGGTGCATGTTAGAAATAATATAATAAGTGTGAATAATATGGATAATAATCCCACATTAGATAGGAATGTGGTGGCTTGAGCATTTATAAGTGAGAGAATTCATACACCTATCACTTAAAGTTTTGAGTGAATATGTGGTGTCTTTGTCTCTTGTGTTGCTCTTGGTCCAATGCTCCATAGTGTAAAACTCCTCTAACATGGTATCAGAGTTTGATTTGTAACGAGCCTGACTTACATGTATTGAATGTCCAAGGAAGAGGTGTATTCGAAATACCTAATAAGAGGTGCCTAGTAATAGGTGTCAACAATTTTGGAACAAAATAACCAGGATGCCCTACTTTTAGTATATGCTCGCCATCTCAGTTGGTGAGTACCTGAAGGACTGACGTGGATGCATGTGCTCGCCATCTCAGTTGGTGAGCACATGTATATTTTATTATTATTTTTTGTATTTTTTATATATTTTAATGAGTTTAATGTTTTATTTAATTATTTTAATTATTAAAATATAATATATAAATTTAATAAATATATATTAATTAAAAAAATTATTAAATATTAAAATTAAATGTAATAAAAAATAATAGTAAGAAAAAAATTTATTCAAACAATAATTAATGTATTGATAATTGACAAGTAAAATACATAACATCAAAAGTGGCCGCTAGTTCCACACCTAGTGCTCTTTTTTAGTCGATATCCCTTGCCCATCGGTTCGTTTGCATTTCTTGTAAGTGATTGAGATGAATCGATAGACATATCATCATCGTGATGTGTTGTTGGGGGGTCTGGTTGCCTTAAAGGGGGGGTCTGCTTGTGTTGTTGTTTCCTCCGCAAGAAGGTCATTAATGTTAAAATCTAGCATTTGCATTAATTGATCCTCCGTCAGCAAAAAATGTTGGAATGAATGCGTTGGTTGTGGTGGTTGGGTGAAGGTATTGGGTTGAGTATGCTGGAGGGTTGGGATGTAGACATCATCAATCGTAAATGTGGAGGTGGATTGAGAGAATGAAGTGTTGAATGTTTGTTGTTGAAATTGAGGGTCTGGTTGGTCAAAGTTTGGCGGAGGAACTGGAGTGAACTATAAGGGTGGTCGATGGGTGGTTTGGGGTTGATATTGTTGGTTATAGTTGTAGTGGTAGTTTTGTTGAGGGAGTGGAGTGTGGGGAGTTTGGTGTTGGGATGAGGTTGCGTAGAATGTGTGTTGTTCGGTGGTCTGTGTGCGATGGTATGTATGCTGAGCGGATGAAGATGCATGTCCCCCAAATTGAGATGTGTACATTGATGGCACATCTTGATGCATTGGTGTGGCAGTTGGTTGTGTTGTAGGCGAACCTTGTATACGAGGGTCTGTCAAATATTGGTCTAGCGCAATATGCACATAAGAAATTGCACGAAACCAATTTAAATACTCTTGGCTTGGCTTGCGTTCACCAACTACCGCGATCCCCTGCAAAACCAAATATCTTATATGTTTCTATTCGTTCACCTCGTCTTTGTTTAATTCTCGCTAGTGAACATTTTGTGCTTTTTTCATCGTCATTTCATCGTGTTCCTTTAGACAGCTTGGCGGGGAAGGAATTTCTTGTTCAAAACCGAACTGGAGTTTGACCCTATCTGTTTGATGCATTTCAACAATATAGAAACAGATAAGAGAAGTCGTAGAACTCCATATACACTGCCACAAATAAAACAGTTAGAATACATTAAGACATATATGCAACATGTAAGTTCTATGCTTTCAAACTCACGTCTCTTTCTTGCATGTGATCAAGTGTGTTTCGATACCCTTATAGACGGAAACGAGTATTGTTTTCGTAATTCATATGTCTTTGGGTTCATCTTGCAGAAACAAAAAAAATAATATAAATGTTAGGTATAGTTGATGAAGATGATAATAAAGTGCATTTTTATATTAGTAATACCTTTGAGCGTATGGAAATGACAATTACAATATGCTAACAGGAGCAAACAAGGGTATACGCGTGAATGCCCAAGTAGTGAGTAGTGCAACACAACCACTCATGCTCCTGACATCTTTGACTTTGGCCTTGCACATTTCTCTGTACAATTTTGCAAGACAAGCAGAACCCCAACTAAATGTGTTGCATTTTTCTAGATCCCCTACAAAAGGAATCCAAGAAGAATGCAACAGATTTTGACTTTTGTCGGGAAACAAAATATTAGCAATTACAAGTAAAATATAAACTTTGGCTTGTAACAGATTAAGTTCTGGGGTAGGGGAAGAGTTATTGTTTAAACTTCATATAAATTCTCTAGCCAAGTAATCTTAACGGACCCTCTATTTTTATTGGCTGATGTAGGTTCTACCCTTAAGTTTTCCATATAAACATTGTTAGTTACTTCGGTAGGACCGTTAACAACTTTTTCATCAACTCGGACACCAAGTAACATGTTAACATCTTCTAATGTTATCGTGCCTTCATTGGTTGCTAAATGAAACGTGTGTGTTTCTGGTCTCCATTTCTCTAACAGAGCAAGAACTACGCTAGTGTCAATTTTGAAACCATTTTTTTTTTGCGAAATTAGCAAAACCTGCTATTTCTAAATAAGAGATTATTCTCGCACTTGCTTGAATGTGAGTATGAGAATGTACTCTAAACCTTGCATTACACTAAAAAAATTAAATAATAGTGAACAGAAAAAT